TCTTCCTTCTCTTTCTTTCTACTTTCCTCCATTTCTTCCTTCTCTTTCCTTCTGTTAGTCTCAGTCTTTTCTTGATAGTTTAGGAACACTTCTTTGTTATCTCTGATTTCCTTCAGTAGAAGTTCCATCGTCTGCTGCATCTCAATTTTCTGGCAGTAAAATATTCGATGCACAACAATTCAATTTGTGGCGTGTTTAAGTTCGTAACACTTCTGACACCAGTGTAACGTGTTTCGTTACAGAAGACGCCGTAGCGATGTTTAATTGGTTTATTTAACAATCTTCAAATAACGGTTACAATTAATTATCACAATATTACGGGTTTCCACACTTTACAAACCCTAGAACAAAATCTCTTAACACTCTCTTCGAGAGTCTTCACGTACTAATAATGCGGGAGCTATACAAGTCTCCCTGAATTACACACTCCGAGTATAACTGTACTACAGCACTCACTATGTCTGGAAAGCACACGAAAAGTCTTCCGCTCGCTGACTTCTTAAGTATCGCACACTCGCAGGCGGCTATGTTTCAACTCGGCGACTGTTACTTTATAACTGAAGTCGCCGACTGCCACAGTAGAACTCCTGGTACCAGCTGTGCAGCTCACTTATATAGCTGCAGTGCTTGCCGGTTGCGTAATGAGTGCCACGTCATCCTGTTACGTCACCGCTGTTGACTCGCCTTGCATAGTTACCAGGTTGCGGGGGCTCGGCTATCTTCGGCTCCGCTCGTGATGTCACCGCGCATAGCTGCCAGGATGCGGGGTGATTACTCGCCTATTATGCGAGCGTTACATTACCGCTGAGGGGAGGGAGGGGAGCGCCGACTGTTGCACTTTCCTTTCCCCCAGATATGCCTCCTACTTCTGTACAGTTTGATTTCTTCTGATGCAGGAAATCAACCCAGACAGACAAGAATCACCTAGTAGAGGAGATGGGGATGAGATAATGAAGGCTAATAATGACGAGGTAAGCCCAGTAGTCTGTAATCTTGTGGTCGTTGCATGTATGTTTAACTTATCTAAATTCATATGCTTGATATACTGTCATGAAGGATAGATTAAACTTGGTGAGATGTGAAGAAAGCAGTCTTCTGGGATTTGGCACCGTGTATATGTGGTGTTAACCGACGTTTCGGAGGAACGTATCACCCCCATCTTCAGGGTAGAAGAAAAAGTATAAGTCACCGCCGTGAAAGCCTCAAATCTTACTTGGTGACATGTGTTAGAAATGATATAGTTCATTCATTCATTCATTTATTTCACTTTCTAATTGATCCTGATACAGGCATAATACAAGCCATAGGATATAGAATGAGTCACAAGATCAAAATTTAAGTTACAGTAATTAATTGAAACATGTCAAAAACAAAAAAACAAAACAAACATACATGCAAACAATTATAAAGCATAAAGCGGACATACATAAACAAATTTACATCAGATACAATAAATATCAAAATTCTAATTCTGGTT